TAAATCAATATTTCTAAGATAATAAGTACCGTAAACATATAGGCTAGGCGGCGGCGTGCAAGTCGTAAGATTTCTTTGGTGTCAAGTAATCTCTGACGATATTTATTTCTACGGTTTTATTTATTTTCTTATCTCCATTTTAGTTGCTAGACGGCAAAAACAAGTTCATGTGTACCATACTATTATGCTTCGATTTGTACCAAGTCTTTCTATACGCAAGCTGCTTTAAGGAAATCGTTTCAAAAAGTCTTAGCCTCTAAACATTAAGTTTGGGATTCATTGCTTTACCCTACCAGATTTATAATTTTATTTCTTTGTTTATCGACTATTATTTATATATTGATATAAAGATTACTATGTTATTCTGAAGGGGATGGCATAACATAGAGATCCTTATAACCAGGGTATCTTTTTGCGAAGAATCAATCCCTACTTTTCTGTCTGTATAACTGGTGTGAATGTTTACCTTATGTTTAGTTATATTTAAAAACCAACCAAGTGCGAGTCAGACTCGCGCACGAAGGGTTCCGTACCAACCCATTCTGCCGCCATAATAAAATTGGTAAATAATCACCATCGTTTTTCTCAGGACCGGGTGGAAATACAGAGTTGAAATTTATACCAGATACTGAGGTCTATAGTCCCTATTGTTATATACAAATCAAGGTCCTAAGTCAACACGATAAAAAGATATGGTTGCCCATTGAGAAATTCGCGAAAACTTGTACGTGCCAAAATTTATCTTAATTTTCAACTTTTTTCATTTTTCTGAATTTTTCCTTTATTTGTGCTGACCTTGCTTTTTACTAAATTTCATTCTAGGTCATCGACAACCTTATAGGTTTTCGACCTAAAGGGCTATAGGGCTACTTCCAGTTCATTTAGAATTTTTACACACTTAATAGAAACTATAGACCTCAGTATCTAGTATAAATTTCAACTTGCTAGGTCCACCCGTTCCTGAGAAGATCGATGGTAACACATGGACAGACAGACGGACAAGAGAGTGATCTTATAAGTATTCCTTAATTTTGATAAAAGTGGGGATGCAATTAGATGTTTTTAGATTATGAGTGAACTGTTAAGACCTGACACCTAAAAATCTAACACCCAGTTTCCGAAAGCGCAATCAATTTTAATTTACGATAAATCTCTTGTCAATCGTTGTTTAACATGATCTGAGTTGCTAGAACGTCTGAAAACAACATTGATTTTGATTTGCAATTATTCACTGATTAACGTTCAATCAACAGAAAATCGAGTTTCTGAAAGCGTTTTTCGGTGGTCAACGAGCTGTCAAAAGTTTTATTTAGTAATCTGTCAATTTCGACGATCAATCGTTGATTTAAAATGTATTTTATCACATATCTTAGTTTTTATGAAAAATAAACATAATTCTCTAATACGTTGTAAGGACATTCGTGTGTTCTATAACCTATTTATTATTTTGCGAACACATCATGCGATTAGAAAAAATACAAAATGCAATTCAAAAGTTAATAAATAATATGGATTCTTTCTTTTTATAATCCTTACTTGTTTATTATGGATAAAAGTTCATTTTTTTCACGTTCTTTAAAGTTTTTTCTTGACATTTTGCATGAATTTCTATAAATTAAATTTTATTATAGCTCGGATTTTTACGTTGGCAATCACACGGTAACAGGACTGGTGACGTTAATTTAAGATTTGTTTAAAAAGGGACAGCTATACAATAGAAAGAGTTAGTTGAAGTAAATCATTCATTTCATTCCGTATCATTGGTTATACAGTGATTAGCAAATTTTTCTTGAACAAACCTTCCAGAAACCCAAGGCAGTTTAAGAAGAGATTAACAGCTGATCATTTTTGACATAGTGTTATGTGACTGCTGCTTTGATTGGCCTTTCGGAAACTGGGCATTAGTCTGATAAAAATCAATATTCAAGAAAGTTGTCGTAACAACTATTTTGATAAAAGTGTGAGTGAATTCTGTTTTTTGCATGAGTGGAAAAAAATACAAAAAAAATACGAATTATTTTCTTTATGTACTCATAACACTTGGATTTTATAATTATGTCACATTTAAGGAGAAATGTGACTTTGAGGGGATTCTGACTAATGTAATTTTACTACGAATTTTAACAAAACCTTTCGTTTATTTAAACCACAATTTTTATGATAACCAACATAACCCCCTTTATGTTTAAAATTATAATTTAAATTAAAATTATAAAAATATCATGTCTTATTTTAAATTATGTAAATGTATTAATCCATAGACAAATTCAATATATTTTTAATTATTATGAACTAGAACATGAAGATATGAAGATGATTTAAATAATGTAAAAAAAAGAATCATCAAAGGTTCATAAACGACGAAGTTATCCGCGAACACACATAAAACAAGTCCATATTTTTATAAACGAAAAACAAAACCGACTGTATTAATTTATAGTTGATTTTCAGGAGTTTTCTAAGCATCTCCGGAACCAATGAAATTATATGGGACCACATGGGAAGCGTCAGCTTTCAAATAAAAATAGAATCCTCAAAATTGGTTCATTCAGTCAAAAGTTCTTAGGTAACAAACATAAAAAAAATATAGTCGGAAACTCTTCCTTTTGAAGTCGGTTAAAAATATATCTATAGGGGCGAATTAAGAAACCTCCTCCGTTTTTGAAGTCAGTTAACAAATTCCTTCATAAAGATTTCTAGTTTCTTTTGGCCCTTGGTTGAAACTATCACCACCTGGATCAGTGTAAGTTTATAACATTCACATTATATTGTTGGCAGTATCAAGTTATTGTGTTTTCATGCATGTTTATTTAAACGGGATTTACGATATTATAATGTCATTTATGCTCTATTAGAACGATATAATCGTCAAGCATATCAGTCTATTGGGGACAGTAGAATGGATCACATAAAAGTATTACTAATAAACTGAATTGGTTTGTATGGAGGTTTTAACTTTACTTGTGATTTCTTTGAAAAAAATTATGATATTTATACGGTTTTGTATCCAAACTTCTAAACCAAAGATAAATAATAAAAACTGATAAATGGATAAAAAAGAATGACTAAAGCCTGGTTAATTGTCTCAATTAAAGGATCTTTAAATTTGCAAACTTTGAAACTTAATGACTTCGCGTTTTTTCATAATAAGCAGGCATTGAATTCCGATCCAGACAGAACATAATACAATACATAGCCATAGCTGGCTAAGTACGATATGCGCACGTCATCTTTTGATTTACATATTAACGGCCACGGATGCTTTGGTGAGAACCTGAATAGAAGAATCAAATATCAAATGACCACGCAACGCCGCTACTGTGAAGGGGAAGACACAACTGAGTGCCTTGCGTGGGGTTCCGAGCGATGGATCCTGGTTCTGAACCAGGGACCTCTTTACTCCAGTCTCAATAGCGGATGCGCTGGAGGAGGAATCAAATTGGATGGCACCGGTCTCATTCTACGAACATGTCATGTTCTAGAATGAGATCACCAAGTGATCACGAAGACGTTGGACTAGCGGAGACGGTCACGTTACATCGGGTGAACCATCACGCCTGCTCATCATCACCTTAAAAAAGTCTAACATAGAAATAGGCCATTTCTTATCTCAAAGTTGTCGTGAAATATGTAAACCAACAATTTAATATTAAAACGAAGTAGTGTAGTATAATTAATCACGCGAGGTGCTAATGCGTTTTTGATAGACTAGAACCATGAAATTTTAGTGCTTTCCGAGCTGTCGCTGTTATAATGCACATATAAAAATGTAAACATCTAGATTTGTGTAAAGTATGTAAATAGTAGGATATTTTTGAACAATTTCAAAATTACAATGCTTTGGCGTCCCCCGAATTGATGAATGAATAATTTGGTACTTTCTTACAACGATTTAAACGGCCATGGCCCATAAATAATAGCATAACGAAGCAATCGACAAACGAAGGACTTTTTAAAGCTTTGGAATGGAAGTAAAGACTAGTATTTTTGTTCTTTCCATCTACATATGATTTATTAGATACACGGGTGACTAAAAGAACAGTGGAACTTTACTAATAATAATATAATACCTAAAAAATCGATATAATAATACAGTACAATAATTGTTTAGGTTTTATCACAACTTGATATTTTGTAATATGTTTTAATAATAAGAAGAAAATGACTATTGTCACTGCTCGTATCAGTGTATCGTACCTCGCAAACATCAACGAAAATGTGCCAAACCCAAAATCTTATCCTTTAAACGAGCAATTCTTTTATATATATATATTTTTTTTTAGTATGTTAATAAATATTCCAATTCTGATTAATTGCCTTTTATTTAATATGACAACTGACTTACCTACATCATTACAAAGTATACATCAAATAATAATAATATATATAGCCGTAATAATAGGAAGCTAATTACAAAGTATAGCCATTTACAATATCATAACTACGGTCTGTTTAGTGTTTCGAAAATTACGAAACGGCCTCGGAGGGCGTCACAAAAGGTACATGACGTAAACACGCTATTTTACCATAATATATTTTTATAACTATGACGCATATACACATATACGAGTACATACTTAACAAGTCCATATTTATTAACGAGAAACAAAACCGACTTCAAATATCTCGCTCTGTATTCATTTTACAATTTATTTTCAGGAGGTCCTTAAGCATCTCCGGAGCCCAAGATCCAATACTAATGAAATTATGGGACCACGTGTGAAGGACCAGCTTTAAAATAAATGATGAATGATCAAAATCGGTTCATCCAGTTGAAAGTTATAACAAACATAAAAAATACAGTCGAATGAGAACCTCCCCCTCTTTTCAAGTCGGTTGAAAAAGACTAAGCAACACAAACTAAAGTTACCAAAGCATCTGTGGCCGTTAATACCTCAACTAGATTTTGTCGACATTCAGAAAAATCGTTCTACATGATAAACAGAGTTCGTATTCTTGTTGCATTATAATATAATGTTACGATGGGGTTGAAGTCTTAAATGCCAACGCAAAGAGAATGTAATCACTACGTTGCCAACGATCCGTCGATAATAGTCTGAAGTGACGTTTATGATTTTATTTTAAATTAATATAAAAATATAATTAAAACTTGAAAGTAGGTTCGAATTCCAGAACCTTTTTTAAAAAAGGAACGAAATTCCGACTATAAAAGGGGCTCAGAGCGCACTAAACGGCAGTTCAGTGGACGAACTCGGGGAAGAGGGAACAGGAAGAAGAAAGTGGAAAAGTCAAGTAATAGTGGAGAGTATAGTAGTGAAGTGACTAGTAGAGTCGACGCACCGGTGGTACTAGTAAGGACTAGAGCGGTATTGAGTGGGCCGCTGTGCAAGTGGTTGTTGACTGTCAATAAAGTAAACATTTTAATTACTGGCGTTTCACTCCAATTCCGAACCCCCAGCTCGTAACATTTGGTGTCTGGTGACAGGAGGAAGGTGCAACTAGTAAGTATTGTCTTAGATCGCTCAGATTGCAGGTACGCTGGACGTAATTCTGGCAAAAATCCTCGTACTGCAGGAGCAACAACGCTCTGCTCATGAGAATCTGGGCGCCTTCCAGGAGGAACTAGCACGACAAAGTGAAGTTCTTCGAGTTCGTAATCACAATACTGTGACAGTGGAAGTTATCGTGGGCAAACATGAAAATAAAGTAAGAGCGGAAGTAGAATCTGTAAAAAAAGGGATGGACAATGTGGAATTACAACAACCGTATTCCCATGAACCGAGGGAGTCACTGTCCATGCGCTCGTTATAGTCTCAGACGCAGGAGCACCTCGATGTCGAGTTGGCTGTGCACGACATGTCGGAGGATGCCAATGGAAGCATAAAGGTCGAGGAAGAGCAAAAACCGAAGTCCGAATCAAATCCGTCTCCCGTGAGCCACACATCAGCTATGATGCGAGACAACGTCGAGATCGAGGATGAATTTAATAAAGGTAACGGCGACAGCCAAGACCTGACCAATGACTTCAAGGGATACGTGAGACGAGAGGATCTGGACCACATTTCGCGATGTGCAACCGTCCGCAGAATACGCAAGGGCCGTTCCGTGCCGACTTTGGCCGATTGTATAACCTGACTTCTGAAGTGGTTAATAAAAGATGGGAGCACCGCGACAAGTACGTTTTTCCAAAGAAGGCGGGTGGAAAGTACAGAAATAGCTAGAATAGTGGAATTTTTCTACAGACAATGGAACAACTATGTACAAGTATCTGGCACAGCAAGTGACTATAGAAATATTGTTTGTGGCAGAAAATGGAAGAGCCGATTGTTCAAGGAGACCTGGGGTGGTGGTGACATCCACCTGGGAGTCAACGGCAAGGAGATATACGACGAACTAGGCTGCGGGTATAACGGAACGAATGATGCTCGGGACTAGCACATCTTGGAGGGGGTAACGTTCCGATTACGGGGATGACGTATTAAATGTCAACGATCCGTCGATGACAGTCTGAAATGACGTTTATGATTTTATTTTAAAATATTAAAAATGTAATTATAATTTGAAAGTAGGTTCCAATTCCAGAACTTTATTTAAAAAAGGAATGAAGTTCCGACTATAAAATGGGCTTAGAGCGCGCTAGACGGCATTTCAGTTGAGGAACTCGAGGAAGAAGAAACAGGAAGAAGAAAGTGGAAAAGTGAAGTAATAGTGAGTGGACAGTATAGTGGACAGTATAGTAGTGAATAGTGACGCGATGTGACTAGTAAAGGTGTACACGGTGGGTTGGTGCAGAATGTGTGGATCGTTGCACCAGTGGACGCGTACGTGGAGATCGGTGCGAGAGGGAGCGCACCGGCAGTCGTGTCACTGTATGATTGGTGCGGAACGGAAGATTCGTCCGGTAGTACTAGGCCGCTGTGCAAGTCTTTGTTGACGTCAATAAAGAAAACATTTTGCTCGAGCCCCAGCTCGAACGAGTATCAATATCATAATGTTAACTTCACCAACAGATTTGTTTCTTACTGCCTTGATCTTTAAATATTCTCTTTATTGTAAATAGAAATAAATTATTGTAAATAAATTAAACTTAGTGAAAGTATAATTCCAAAAATCAAAAATTATTATTGCATCGGTTTAGCCTAATTGTTGTAGATATCTAACTTTGGTATACGTATCTTTTTTGAGATAAAATTCGTGAAGTTACATCATAAAAAAACTTGTATAAAGTATAACATAATAATTGATAGCATATAAATAGCTTACTTTTATAAACCGCCAGATAAAATGTTAGTGACTGCTCATTTTTTGGTTTGCAAATAAACAGATTTACGATTTTGTAGCACGTTCGAAGTTTTTGTGCTCCAATAGCAACGAGTAAAATATGGTGTAAAATTGTACACTAACATCAGTGTTATCCCGTGGATTAAAAATATTTCGAAAAAAGGCTCCAGAAGTACCAACAGTTTTTGTTTTTGAACATTTTATTAATCTGGAATCAACGATCTTCATGACAGCTAGTTTAAATTGTTATTTTTCCTATTTTTTTTAATATTTTTTTAACCATAGGTCTACACTAAATACGTTTACATATTAACGCCGTTGTTTGTATGAAAACTGCAGCTGAAAATGCTTCAAACTTTTATCATATCCTGGAACAGAAAAAAATTCTATCTAGTTTCATAAGTTAGGTGAATGTGAGTCGCTGTATTTAAAAAAATAGTACTCGTAAACTAGAATCGTCGTCTACCTACCAATATGAAATAACATAATTGGTCCAATTTTTATGAACGTTTGATTATACCTAATCAGACCGGTTCTTCGATAGAGCCGAACATCATCCCAACCCTCTGGTGGTAAGCGCAGCAAACTACCTACCAGACACAAACGCGAACGTCAACAAGCGTCGCCCACGAAACGTCCTAATCGACCCGGTCGAGGAAGGGGACTTAGAAACGCCGGACCCACCGCTGGGGGTCCCGGCGGATAAGACTACACCCACAGCTAGTGTCACAACAAACACAATAGTTCGCCCTCGCCTCCGAGCACGGCGAGACCTACACAACGGGTACACAAGGTACACCCGCGACACACAACGGGTACACAGGTACACAGTCGACGGCCATCGGGGTGTCGGTCCGCATCGCAACTTCGATGGCCCTTAGATGACAGGTCGTAGTTAAACGCACGCATGAGCACATGCGCGGCCCTAACCACAGCGGAGGGACCAAACCCGTGGGTTCTGGCTAGTCCACCGGTTCTGCGTCAGATGAAGCTTTAATAGTCTCGGGACTGAAAGCAAAAACATCAGTTAATACAAGATCCTGCACATTAGAAAATTCCGCGTTATACACACGGTGGTGGTATCGATAGTGTTTGGCGGTTTGTCGCGTTAAATAAGGTTACTAAGCAGTAGGTATTAATTCTTATATTTTTAAAAATATTAAATATATTCTCTAGCGGTCTCAAGATGACGCATCTTTCAAATTCTGTATTTTAATGTTAAAACGCGTGCAAATTGATACACATTTGTTGTATGTAGATAAATGAGTAATATATCAATAGATAATTTATGATAGTTTTGTATGTATTTATATACCTATATATTCATTTATGTTATTTATGTGTAGTTAATGTTTATTAGTATATACATAATATATAAATTTATATTCATATTTCGTGTGTAAACATTGAGCACAGACACAGGATTTAAAACGTCTCTTTACTGTGTCGATAGTCTTTATATAGTAGTACATTTAAGGCACCTCTAGTAAATTAGAGTAAACAAGAGTAAACTCTGGATTCGCGCAGCGATTTTAGCCATTCTTAGGACCGTTCATATATAAAAAATCATAAAGAACTGTGACATTAAGGAAGACTCCATATACAAAGAAAAGAAAGAAAAATAAAGGCTTTGTTACTTTACTTCAACTTACCTACAATAAAACAGAGAATGTAATAAAAATCGTCAAATAAAGGAAAGTAATTAAACAGGCATACATCAACTGCACAAAAATATATACTTATTTAGCTGTAATATCTACTGACACTGGCACAAACTGTTAACCTAACGTATCTATTGAATATTATTTTACTTCATGTACAATATTCGACGAGTGATTTTGGTAATCATGTAGAGTTGGAACTCACGATACCGTGCCATATACCGATGGTCATGCCTAGTGTGATGTTCACAATAAATTATGATTCGACGAAACATTTGTATTGTCATCATCATTTCAGCCTGTTTGAGTCCACTGCTGAACATAGGCCTCCCCCACAGACTGCCACGAAGTACGATCCTGAGCCACCTGCATCCATCGACTTCCCGCACATTTGCACAGGTCGTCACTCCATCTAGTGGGGGGTCGTCCTACACTGCGATGGCCAGTACGAGGCTGCCACTCGAGAACCTTTCTTCCCCTACGGTTTGGTTCTACGAGCTATATGGCCGGCCCATCGCCACTTCAGCTTGCTAATCCTCTGAGCTATGTCGGTTACCTTGGTTCTACTGCGGATGTCTTCGTTACGAACTCTATCACGCAGAGAAATACCGAGCATAGCCCGCTCCATAGCTCGCTGAGCGACTTTGAGCTTCCTCATACGGCCAGCAGTGATGGACCACGTCTCGGTTCCGTAGGTCATCACTGGCAACACACATTGATTGAAGACTTTAGTCTTCAAACATTGAGGTATATTCGACGAGAAGATTTGCCGAAGTTTCCCGAACGCTGCCCATCCGAGTTGGATTCGCCGATTGACCTCTGCGTCGAAGTTGGACTTACCTAGCCGGATTAACTGTCCTAGGTAAACGTACTCGTCAACAACTTCGAGCTCAGTGGTCCCAACGACAACCGGTATAGGCGTGACATGGACATTAGACATGATCTTCGTCTTGTCCATGTTCATCTTAAGGCCCACCCGTTGGGAGACACTGTTGAGGTCATTGAGCATAGCACCCAGGTCCTCCAGCGATTCTGCCATGATGACTATATCGTCGGCAAATCGAAGGTGGGTAATGTATTCGCCATTGATGTTAATACCTCGTCATTTCCAGTCCAGAAGCTTGAAAACATCTTCCAACGCAGCGGTGAAGAGTTTCGGGGATATGACATCACCCTGTCTTACACCCTTCTGCAGATGGATAGGTTTTGTACTACTGGACTGTAATTGGACGGACATCGTAGCCTTGTTATACAAACACCTCAGCACTTCGATATACCGATAGTCAATTTGGCACCGCTGAAGAGCCTGGAGTACCGCCCAAATTTCGACAGAATCGAAGGCTTTCTCATAGTCCACATACGCTAGGCACAAAGGTAGATTATACTCTTCGGTCTTCTGTATAACCTGCCGCAAGGTGTGTATGTGGTCTATGGTACTGAAGCCTTTTCGGAATCCGGCTTGTTCGGGAGGCTGGAAGTCGTCGAGTCTGGAAGCGAGACGATTCAAGATGACTCTTGAGAACAGCACATAGACGCGGCTCAGAAGGGATATCGGTCTATAGTTCTTCAAGAGAGCGTTATCGCCTTTCTTGAAGAACAGCACCACCACACTTCTGCTCCACGCCTCTGGTGTAGCACCACCCTGAAGGACGAAATTAAAGAGCCTCTGAAGGATTACAAGTACCGGTTCTCCACCCGCTTTCAGAAGCTCTGCTGTAATTCCGTCCTCTCCCGATGCTTTGCCATTCTTAAGATGGTCGAGAGCCATTCTAATCTCGCTCAGACTGACGTCCGGGATATTCTCGGAATAGTGTCGGATAAGCTTTGCTCTTGGGTCGTAACTCACACATGTGTGTGGCTCCAACGACGATGTGTACAGCTGTCCATAGAACCTCTCAATCTCACTCAAAACCTCTGGTCTACTGGAGATGACAGCCCCGCTGTCAGTCTTCAACTTGGTCAGTTGGCTTTGTCCGATAGACAGATCTCTGGCGAAGACTTTTGAGCCTAGGTTCCGCTCTATAGCTCCCTCAATACGAGCTGTATTGAAGATGCGTAAGTCTCGCCGCATGCATTTGGAGATCTGCCTATTAAGCCGCCTGTAGTCTGGCATGTCAGCTAAAGACTGCAGTCGCATCTCACGTCTTTTTCCCAAGAGGTTAAGAGTGTGATCGGAGAGTTTTTGCGTTCTATTTGTGCGGCGGGCCTTATAAAATTTAAGGCCCACGGCATGGACAGTTTCCACGAGCTTAGCGTTAATATTTGTATTGTATTCCTAATATATCTGTCACTTTTTAATATTTTATTTTTGTTTGTATAATACCTATTTTTATTTTATTATTGTAATGTGCAGATGTGTTTTTGATTACAAATAAAGATTATTATATTTTACTTATGAATTTTTTAACGTTAATATTTTTTTATGATTTTTGGCAAGTAGCGTTAGACGTGTTTTCATTTATTGTCGCGATTGTAAAGACACGCTGTATATATAATTCTTCTATACGTGTGTATGTCACTGAACTCTTCGTAAACCGCTGGATCGATTTTAACGAAATTTAGTGTGTCTTCGATTTGAGAATGGTTTAGATTCACAATTCGGCCCACATTTTTTAAAAAAAAATTATTAAGTTATTTTCGGATTTAAGACGTGTGTACAGGATAACGTCTGTCGGATCCGCTAGTACATATATAAGTTTTTGTCAATATTTTGTTTTATTATGCTAACAAATGTTAACAGCAATCATCTTCAATTAGAGCGATATAGTGGGGCAGCTTCGCAGGCGGCTTCTTATCGTGTTAAATCGTTAAAGTTCAGAAAGTATAAAGTAAAGCGCAAATTGCGACCTCGATTAGTTCGCGAACCGTTATTTGTGGTAAATTATGGTATAGACTTTAGTCTAAAAGCTCAACTGTACACTTAATTGCACTACCTACAAACACGTAATGTTGAACATTACAATACTTAGAATGTACAAAAGGTACTTCCAGCGGATGATGGAGGCTACACGAACGGTCTATCTTGGCATGTGCATATTTGCATTCAACATCACACAGTTCCAAAAGTATTATCTACACAGCATAAAGGTAAAA